TCTTACATCAGTTTGAAATACTAGCTTCTTCTATTTCTGTATTCAGCAATTTGTCATGCTCTTTCTATCCTTGTTACTATGATCTGTGTTTCCTTAACCAGAGGGAAAAAATAATCTCATCTTGGTTACTGTAAGCCGTGCTGCTAAAGATGCTCACCCCCTGTGCTCAGTGGTGCTCTTGGACTAATCATGCACTGGGAAAAACTTAGGCTAATAATAAGAAAACTACCTTAATGGAAACTATTTTCCAGGAAAATGAAGCATAAAGGCAAACAAGTAAAACCCCCAGTGGGTTGGGTTTCCTGAAGGGAAAGACATGCACTGTCCTGTGCTCCAGTTGCCAGCATGCTCTTGGGGATAGCATAATCCACCACAACCTGTGCTGACTTTCACAGTGACTTGGGACTATATTCAATTCTTCGGAGGCACATGGACTTATACTCCCTTCTGTCTTAGTAATCCATCTATCTTTCCCATTTGAGTTCTCTGGAAGATTTCTCCCTAGCATGAAAATGCACTTTTCAGTGACTTTCCAGTAGTGCCAGTTTCTCACTGATTGGTTGTTTACTGCCTGTTTAACATCTTGCCCATTAAGTAGTTGAACCTTGGTCACACATGCACTTGTGTTTTGTTTTTTTTTCTTAGCTTTGAAAGTTTTATTTTTTGGTAGCAAATACAAAGCTCTAACACTGAGCAAGAGACTTCTTTGTGTCTAATTAGTCCCACTGATGTTCAATATACAAAGTTTGTGTGGCCATAGGGAGGAGATCTCCCTTTGGCTTATATCCAACAACTCATGATAGAATTTTCATAGAAAAGATTTGAAGGCTTTAATTAACTAAAAAAAAATAATTACATATTGAGTAAATAACCAGTTTTCAGACATAGCAAAGGTTGTCCTTTTATCACAGTCACGTTATGTCGGTGTTTTAAAGGAGGACTAAGAAGAAAGGAAAATTAACAGTGGTAGAAATATTGTAATGTTAGATCTTTAAAAAGTACTTTTGAACAAACATCAAAATAGGTGTGTTCAGCTAAAATTAGCTGAAATTCATCTAAAATTAGTCCTCATTTCTGTTTAGAAATCTTGTCTGGGTCACATTGGAGGATTACACCAGTTTTCTAAAATATATGGAAACTTGCCGTGACTGTTGCTTGTGAGATATGTAGTGGCTGATGTAAGCACTGTATATCTGGTGTGCTCTGGATATGTCATACTCGCTATGTGTGTTTCAGTCAACCACATCCTAGGCAGAATACGGGACTCTTGTGACTCAACAAACAGAATTCTCTGGGTATCTGTATTCCCATATATTTTACTGGAAGAAATAAAATCCTCAAAAGAAGAAATGATACTTCAAAGTGAATTCTCTGTATTTATTTTTAATATTACCATTTATTTAAAAAGAATTGGTGCTGTAATCTTGCTGTGCAAAGCATATTTTTTTAACAAAAATGGTTGAAAAGGATCAACTAATATGGAGACATCTAGTGACAAAATTTATGGCCATGGAGCTGAAAAAATAGACATATGAAAGAGGAGTGCAATAATGAAGTAGGCCAAAATTGTTATAAATCAGTCACATGTAACTTCAAATTATTTTGATCCCTTCCAGAGCCCTTTACTTATAATCCTTTAAGCAAGAAAATTAAGTTTTGGGAAGTTTTGTGTTTTTGTATTATCTGAGTCAGTCTTGGCATGCTTTATCATCCAGAAATGAAAGGGAAGGTAGGAAGTATCTGAACTTCTTGCCTTTGTAAGCAATTTGTAACTGTAAGCTTGAATTAATGTGTGAGGCTTCATTTTTTTTTGAAAAAAAGAGAAAACCTTGTGGAAACTGTTAATTTTTTCCTTCTTTTCTAAAGTAATTACATGTGCTGAGTGAGATCTGTCTTGGCGTTTCATTAAGAAACGTAATGCAAATTAGGTTGCAAAGTTTTTTGCTGCCTCAGAATTAATTTAATTTTTTTTGGTAAAATCCTCTGAAGTGCTTTTCTACAGCAAGTACCTTCAAAAATTGTAAGCCTTTTAAAATTACAAAGACAAGGAAAAATAATGTCCATTTTAACAAAGGGAGATCTAGTAGCGTGGGGCCACGGGCCCGCGAGTCCCTGTCTGGTGATCAGGAATAGAGCGCGGAGGTGCCGTAGGTAGCCTGGAAAGAGGAGGAGACCGGCCACCTTTTCTTACTGCATACGGGACGGTCGGCGGCTGACGGGTTGGATGTCTGGTTGCCTCTGGTCTGCTCTTCCCCAGCATGAGCAGGCACCGGCCGAGTGATCTGGGCTGCTCGGGGAGGGCGGCAGGTCGGACTTGCTGCCGCAGAGCTGAGCCCCGTCACCCCACGCGGCTGCCCCTGAGGACCAGACGGTCGAAAGCAGCATCTCTCTTGTGCAGTCGGGAGTGAGCTCTCCTCCCGGTCCCACCAATGCAAGCTTCTAGCGTTTTGTTCTTTCTGGGGGAAGGTGCAGCAGCTTCCAGGAGTCAAAAAGGCATGACTTTAAATCTGTGCTTCTGGCAGCCGGGGTACGGGGAAATGAGCTTGAGGTTGTAGGACTAATTACTGTTGATGATTTACTGTGTGGTAATGGATTAAAGGCATCCTGTTTCCTATCAAGATCTTACGGCATTACAAGTTGTTGTGACCTTTATATTATGGTTTCCAGTGGTATAAAATAAAAGTAAATCTTAGCGTGAAAACAAAAATGGATGCGAAACACATGTCTAAACCCTGCCCTTTTTCTTCCTCGCTATGAGGAAACCAACAGTGAACTATTCACTGTTAACTAGGGCAGCATTTCCACTCCAAACGAAGTTACTCACTGTGTGTTCACTGTAGTCTGCAATTTGGGAAATACTTTGCTATCCCTCTTCATTATATGTGAGACACTTAAAATCTAAGCACATTTTTCCCATAGTTTTGTAATGTTGTATTAGTCCATAAATGAGAAGGCTACTTGAATAAATATTTTAGTCACCTCTATTAGTGACATCTGCAATAAAACTGTGATTAAAAAAAAAAAACTAAAAATCGTTTCTAACTTGGCAGAATGCCTTTTTAAGCACAGATTGGGAATCGAGACTATTACTGCCTTATCTATAATGAAGTGTTCCAAATAACGTAACAGGAAGAAGATCTGAGAGTTCTCATATGACTAATTTTAATCAGTCTATTAATATTTAGGAATTGGATAGCAAAATAATACGTTGTTCTGTGTATTGGAGGGAGATGAAAGGCCTCAATTTTGCAAACATATATGTGTATATCCTGATGCCATTCAATAGAAAGCTGGCATGTTAGTCCCAAAAAAGCTGTATATGTGCCAAAGTGACAGAATTTTGGCTTAGGACAAATGTAGAATAGTTGAGTAAAGAGAATTTTTGTATTTTCTGGCTAAATGTTAGTTGGGTATAGTGGATAGGTATGAGGTACCAAGTCATCTTACCTGGGATGCTCATGTCTGTCTAAATAGAAATAATTTTTAGGTTCCGTTGATTTAAAAATTTCAACCATGTTTTTAAAGGAATTTACACACAGATGTGGCCTGTACTGTAATGCTTGTTTCCTTTCAAAAAACTGAAACTTGAGTACTTTTTGTAAATCAGGCATAAGATCCTAAATGTGAGTGTACAACACTTTGTGCAGCTGTACTTGGCTTAGTGTCTTCCAGTTGAATTCAACCCTAAACATGCTGGATTTGCTTATCTGCTTTTCTTTGTGGTGTTTATAACCAGAGTATTTGAACAAATCAGTCCCTATGTGTGATTTGAGCATCAGTGCTGATCTTCCGAAGTTTCTGCTCTATATGGGTTTGGTTGGTTTAGGTACAGGACATCTGAGCATTGCAGTCTAAAATATATGCGGCTAATGCTGGGGGCAGCTGCAGGTCAGTTTTTTGCAGTGTTCTTCTGGTCTGGAGGGGAAAATAAAAAGCTCTTTCCTTTCAGACAACTGGAAAATGGGGAATCTTAAGGGGATATACTTCAAAACACTCAAACATTTTCTGAGAACTTCATCACCTGTTATGTAGAAAAAAGTTTATCTGCAAGTGCTTCAAATTAATTCTTTTTTCTAAAAGTTAGATATATTGCATCATTTGGAATGGCATTTGTTTCATAGAATAAAAACGTGGAAACATTATTTTATGCAATACTATTCCTTATAATACATCTCTCTGAATTTTTTAATACCAACTTTCCAAATGAATCTCTGTTTTTGCAGCATTGTGGTGTTCTCTGTTAGGAGTGCGTAAAAGTGGAGCAAGTACCAGCCTGTTGCAAAGACACCTGAGCTATCTGGCCCTTTAAGCAAGAATCAGCACTTAGCTTGGTTCAGTTTTAGGCCTCTCACTTAAGCTGTAGATATTCAGGGTACAGGACTTTATTCAACTATTCAACATGCCCTTGAAAGTATGGTGTGCTTATATCCACAAACTGAAAACTGTAAACATCATTGAGAATCAAGATATTCTCACTAAAGGTGCTTTCCTGTAGTATTTGCACTGCTTTGTGAACAACGGTTGATGTACAGGGGCAATGACTACTTGGAGCAATGTTTTTGTGTGGGCTTTAGTCTAAAAATAAGAAAAAATAAATAATCAGCTCTTTTAATCTGATTTTATAGGGCAGATTAAGACTGTTGCTTAGATCTCTTAACAAAGATAAGCTCATTTAGTTGTTAATGATCTTTTTCCCCTGTATGAAGTGATATAGGTGAAAAATAAAACAGAAAAACCTCTTGATTAAGAACAAAATCCTTTTGATAGTTCCAGTGATGTAAGCATATGACTGATATCAGCAACCACCATCTGGGGTGTTTCAGTAGCCTATTACATTGTTTCATTAGCTCTGCCATTAATTTTTTTTAATTGTTGGCTGCTGAAAACATGCAGGTCTATGAGTTTTGATAATGACCTTTGGTCTCTAAAGGCTGAATCAAAGCAGTTAATGTTGCAAGTGCAATACATGCTGACAGGTCATCTTTTTTTGTTTTGTTTAGCCTACAAGCCCCAGGTTTGGAAAAGCAGACTCATACGAAAAACTGGAAAAACTAGGGGAAGGGTCCTATGCTACAGTATACAAAGGGAAAAGCAAGTAAGTGGTGCTTTTTTCATTTAATTTTGTGTGTAAATGAAGATAAGCAGAAGGTATTAACTGATGTTGCTGCACTTGTACATGCAAGTGTACTATGAATGAATGCAGAGTGCTACTGGCTGCCATGTGCTGTAGTGTAAGAGGCTGAGACCATATTGCATAGGTAACATATTACCTTCACATCAAAACAAGATGAGATCCCGTGTTGTTAACCTGATGTTTTGTTTGTACCTTATTGTTATACTACTTTCTCATTATCCATACGAAATTAAATGTAACATAATGAATATATGCAATGAGTTTGTTTGTCTTTTTTTAGTCATTATTTAAAAGCTTGAGTAAAATAACATGAAGGGAATGAATGGAATTTTGGACTACTGTAATTTTAGTTTATTTACAAGAGTTTATTTAGAATCGTTGCAACTACCCCACCACAAAAAAAATTACTGTGTATATATCAAATATTTCTTGTTTTCAGCCACTTTTAATGTTATTTGTTGGAACTTCTTTATGCTCAATGCCCTAACTTCTTCTATATTGTATGAAATACACTTCTTGAGCTAGTGCTTCAGTTGAGAATTCTCTTTTGTCAAGCAAAGTGTCTTTCGCAAGTTTGTATATTTAATCAAGTTTTCATAATCAAAATTTCAATAATAATAAAGCAGTTTTGAGAGAGAGATTGGGTATGTGTGATATCTTTATTTAGAAACTTTGTCAAGTGAATGATAGATCAGGCAACTTACTATTCTGAGCAGAGAGAATATCATGACAGTCATGGGACAGAATAACTACTGAGACAAAGAAACATGTTTTAACATTTTCCAGGGTCATTAAGTTAGGCAGGTACTGAAAATTACTTTTTTCACTGAATATTTGTGATAAATCAGAATGAGGGATGTCCTCATCTTTCAGTAGCTTTGAGGCTGATGAACATAGTGTCAGCTGATATGAATAAAAACATATTCTAAATGTAGAAGAAGTAATTACACTTTTGCCATGTCAGTGCCTGTATTGTCTTTCACTGGCAGCTTTCTTCAAGAAAATGCAGTTATGTTGCATTGTTAATGGTTCAGTTATGCATCGCCGTAAGTTCCAGACATATGTAAACTTTTTATTGGGGTCTACGTAATATGAGAAAACGGTATAGATTTCAGCTTGTGCCTTATTATTAAAATCCTTCAGTAAAATTGCAGTGCATATCTGGTGATAGTAATGTCATATGCCTTGGCTTTCAATAAGATTGAATTAAGGCAACAGGATTGCTAGATGTCCCGTCAATCAGTGGAACAGACTGAAAGTTAAAAACAAAGCACAAGCACTTTCCTGAAGCTGTTTCATTCAGGAGTGATTCGTGAATGTGTTACAAAACATAGATTGGTTAGAAATAGTAATTTGTTTTAGTAGAGCTGACTGCAGATCTGTAAGAAATACTTCAATGATTTTAGTGTTAGTTGAATAATAAATTGAAATTGCTGGGCTCTCTGCATTCTCCATTGTAAATAGCAAACTCTGAATAAGTAGTGTGAATTATAACAATTATATATAACTGAATTCTGCTGCTTCATCTTTTGCAAAGTCTTTAAAATGTATTGTGGAATGGAATGGAATGGAATGGAATGGAATGGAATGGAATGGAATGGAATGGAATGGAATGGAATGGAATGGAATGGAATGGAAGCAACCTTCAAAGATCATGGGATCTTGGGATCCCAAGCCTTCAAAGATCATGGGAGTCCAACCCCTCTGCCATGGGCAGAGACCTCTTTCACTAGATAAACTTGCTCGAAGCCCCATCCAACCTGACCTTGAACACTTCCAATAATGGGGCATCCACAATTCCTCTGGGCAACCTGTTTCAGTGTCTCACCACCCTCATTGCAAAGAATCTTTTCCTTATGTCCAATCTACACCTACCTTCTTGCAGTTTAAAACTTTGAATAAGTCTGTGTAACTAGAGTGTGGATAAGAATGCATATGCAGAGAATATCTTAGTCTCTTCCTAATGTTAAAGTAATATTCCTTCACGTGCATAATTTTTTTTGGTTGACTTCCTTTCCTTCCTTCCCCTGCCCCAAGAATTCAGTAATTCCCATATTATGCAGCACCATCCAAATTCAGCACATCCAGTTCAGACTTCAGTTTCTTAGAGAAACAGTTGAACTACTTTATAGCAGGAGGAGGTTATTCCTTAAGAACAGGGGAAACACTACAGCAGCTATCTTCTATTTTTAAAGGAATTGTTGGTTGAGGTAATGTGTCCCTGTTACATCTTCTGTCCCCATGACATATTGAGGAATCTCTGACCTAGGTGGTATCCCCAAAGAAGAGAGAGCATCACTGCTACGATATACTCTTGGGGACAGAAGGGCAGTGGGGTGAGTGGATGGGCCAACGATGGCTCCAGCCATTCCATGAGAGCCTAACTTTGCTGCTGCTTTTCTGGCAGATTGGCTCTGACTGTTTATAGCCTTGTCTAAAATGGTACAGAAATTAGATAGGGTGAGACTGTGATATGCATCACTGTGTGCCCCTGGCTACACATTCAGTGGGAAGAAAAATGAGCAAAACAGGTCAAAAAGAGGGCTGTTGTCTGTTTCGACATGTGCCCAGTTTGACTGCTGAAGGATTAAGTCCTCATGGCACACCACAGAACACAGACATAACGTGTATTTGGAGAAGCCAGTAATACTTGCATAACAAGTGCATTTTGATCAAAATGTTTGAGAATCCCTAATTCCCAACTAACTCTAATGCTTGGCTTTCTCATTTTGCCAAAGCATTTCTGAGATGTGTCCTTAACTTAGTGGAAGATGATTTAAGGTCTGATTTAAGATCAGATTAAGCTAGTGTGAATGACGCTTTGTAGTCAGAATTATTGTTCTTAATATTTATCACCAGCTGCATGTGGCAAGTAGTGGGGTTTGTTTTTTTTAAAAAAATGCGTTACCTGAGATATATTTCATCCTTTTAAATTATTTCCCCTGCTGATCATAATGATGGAATAAAAAATTGATGATCCTAGCTTACTATTTGAAAAGACTGAAGGGTACAGATCTGACTCCAAAGACAGAAAATCAGCCATTACTTTCCTAAAATTTGAAGTAATATGTGCAGTAACTTGCTTTCAGGGCAAGCCTGGCTTTTTACAACTTGGAACAGGCTCAGTGGTACCATTACTTTTCTGTCTATTTGAGTATCTGTGGCAGTATCCCAGGAAAGTGAACTAAGGTGGACTAGTTCCTCTTACTGGATGATGGGTTTTTCTTTTTGTAGTCAGATAACAGCGACTCCCTGGAGCAAGGAAGCAGCAGAGTGAAGGGGACTGTGCTGTTGAGGAAAATGAAGCAGTATTCTCTTAGGGTGGGCTTTTTTGTTTATTGGAGAAATAGCCAAGCAGCCATTTATTTCTGGCTGATGGTTGCACCAATAGGCAAATGTATTTGATTTCACGAGTTGTACATTGGGTATGTGTAATGAAACTCATCTTGGCATGTTCATTTTCTACTTTCATTCAGGTTAAAGTCTTACATGTTACTTTGTTGTATAAAGTCCCAACAGGCTGCTTACTGCATGAAATTTAGATGACTTTGAAGTGATTCCTGCTTTTTTTTTTTCCTAATGTAGAAGAAGAGAAGTAGACTTTAGTAATTTGCTGATAATGCTGTAAAAAATGATGCAAGTTCCATTGACTAACGCTGCAAACATTTGCCACGTAATAGGTGCAAGGCAATAGGTGCCTTGTGAATCCCTGTATCATGTCATTTTGCAGCTGAGCTGGAGAAGTGCTGTCTGTCTGTATCGACACATGTATCTTCCTGCTGCCGTTGACCTTCTTGATTATAAATTTACCTGAGTGTGCAGCAATGGCGTCTGGCTTGATCTGTAGCACATAAATGTTGACGTGAGTTATGAGAGTCTGGAGACGGAGCTGGTGACAGCACGGGGAGCTGCTGCCAACCATCGCCCCTTACGCAGCAGTCTGGAGGCCTTGCATGCTTGCACTGGGAACGCTGCATATTGCACTTAAGGGAAAAACCTGTGCTTTTGGCAATATTACGAGCTGGCATGGTTTCCATCCTCTCCTCCCACTGTGTTCAATTGCCCTTCAAGGCAAAGAATTAAAAAAGATTACCTCGGTTAGAGCGATGTGATCTGTGACTGCTGCTTGCACAGCATGCATCTGTGTTTTGAGAGGCAAGCCAATGGTATCTCCACTGCTTCTGCACTGCTGTGATCTCGATCTCCTCCTTGCTTCTCCATGTGATTTCTAGTGTACCTTTACTTTTTTTGGCACCTTTACTAAGTTGCGTGTGCTCAAAGTATTGCAAAAATCTGTAGAATATGTAACAGAGAGCTGAGCTCAATCAACAGATTTTTGCCTAATTTCCCTTACTGAAATTTCATTATTTCAATTTATCCTTAATAAACTGCTTGTTCTAATAAATTCTGGTCCCTATCCCTTTTAACTATTAATATGAGAAATTGGTAGAGCATGGACAAGAGCAAGTAGCAGCTGATGCTGTCAACGAGAGCTCAAAGGCTGCAGAGGTAGGGCAGTCAAGGTACCTCTGCCATTTCTGTTTGATATCTGAAATTTTTGTGTTCAAGGTTATTCCAACATATACCCAGAGATAAAAGGTGTTTTTACAGGTAGCCAGAGCATTTTACATTTATCTCCATCAAAGGCAGTACCTTTTACTATTCACCTGAAAATCAGTAGGGAGTTTGTGGTATAAAGCGCGGATCATAGAGAGAAATTGTGCTCAGGGGGGCAGGCACCATGCTTGGCACCGGCTGCGGTTTCCACGCCCAGTTATTCTTGGGGCAGCAGGGAATATTTGAATGACCAGTGGGAACTATCTGTATTTGTTGTTGGCACGATGTATTGTAGTACGCATTACGAATATATAGCTGACCACCGTATTTCATACGTATTTTGTGGATGACTGCTTACAAGAAAAAGGGTGGCTTAAGTATTTTGATTTTTATATTTATGATGC